ATTTATTTATTTTGCCTTTTATTATTTGTGCTTTTGTTATTACATCAGATAATCCATTACTAAAAGCTAGACCTGACAATTTTGCTCCTGGATTTTCTTCTGAGAATTTTATGGTTTTAGCTTTCCCATTTAGATCTTTAATCTATTCTGAATTTGTTTTTATGTATGATGTGAAGGTCATGGATCCTGTTTCTGCCACATAGAAATCCAATTACCCAACACTATCTATTGAAGGAAGTCTGGGTGTGGTGCTGCAGAATATGCACTGGAATGCTAATCTCAAAGTTGGAGGTTCAAATCCACCAGCTACTCCTTGGAAACACTATACAGGGTGGCTATGAGTCGCGGAACTGACTTGACAGCACTTAACAAAAACAGCATTTACTGAAGAGACTCTCTTTGCCTACCAAATGGACTAATTACCCTTGCCCCAAATCAGTTGACCACAGATAGATGGACTTATTTTGAATTCTCAATTTTTTCTATTTTGGTCTCTATATCTACTGTTATACCAGTATGAGGCTATTTTGATTTCTGTAGCTCTGGCTGTATTAAATGTTATAAAATCAGGAAATATAAGTCCTCTTACTTTGTGCCTCTGTTTCAACATTGCTTCAGCTACTCAGAGCCTCTTGCTATTCCATACATGAGGACTAGTTCTTTCATTTCTGTAAAGAAGGCTGTTGGAATTTTGATTAAAATTGTATTCAATCTGTAGGTCACTTCAGATAGTATTGACATCTTACTAACATTAGGTCTTCAAATCCATGAACATGAGACATCTTTCCATTTATTTAAGTCTTTGTTAATGTCTTTCCACAGTAAGAGGGTACATAAAAATATATTGCTACAAAATCAAAGAAACCTTAATTAAATAAAAATATCAAAATGTGAAGCTATTGTTTCTCGACATATCCTCCATGCAGAGGCTATAACACACCTGATGGCAGTGTTTCTATCTCTAACTCTTCCTTGAATTCTGTGCTCTTCGATTTATGCCACGTCAAAATGGAAGTTTTGCATCTAGAGGAATTTAAATTATGTTCCTTTGAAATGAGTATGAGGAAACAATCAAAAAAAGTCTGAAGGGACAAGAGCAGGGTTGAATGAGACAAAGTTTCCCAACAAAATTCCTGTAGGACAGCTCAAGCTATATGTGAATAATCAGAAGGTGCATAGTCATGATAGACAAAAATTCCTCTGCACAACTTTCATGGCCTTTTTCTCACCAATGAAATTTTCAATTTTCTTCAAACTTCTTCATAAACCCTGTGTCCTTTGAGAAAATCTATCAAGATTACCATTTGGAATCCCCAAACAGTCACCATAACCTTCTGAGCTGACCTTTCTGCCTTGAATTTAAGTGGCCTCCAGATCTCCTTAGAAACCACTGTTTTGATTGGACTTTTTTTTTTTTTTTTTTTAAAGCTCCCTAAGGGGCTCTGGCAGCATAGTGGTTACAAATCAGGCTGCGAACTGCAAGATAAGCAGTTCTAAACTACCAGCCGTTCAGCGGGAGAAAGATGAGGCTTTCTGCTCCAGTAATGATTTACAGCCTCGGAAACCCTACACAGGGTTGCTGAACCGACTCCATAGCACACTACCACCACCACCAAGGAGCCTAAGGGAGTCCTGGTGTAGCACTGTGGGTTAATGTGCCAGAATGCAAAGCCATTTGAACTGCAAGGTTCGTGGTTCAAGCTCACCAGCTGCTCCTTGAAACACTATACAGGGTCACTATGGGTCAGAGTCGACTCAGTGGCACTTAACAACAACAATAACAAGGTGTCTAAGGTAAATGCATTACTAAGAGAACTTGTCTTCAACTATCCATGAATCACAGAGTCATATTTAAAAACATTGTGTTTGGAATAAATGTAGATATGAACTGGAACCCTAGTAGCAATACTTTTTGACTTATCCTGATACTTGATCATTGTCATTATATAACTAAAGAGATCTCCCACGACCCTAGTTGAATTTATTCCTAGGCTTTTTCTTCTCTTAGCCGCTCTTGTAAATGGGATCATTTCTCTAAACTCCCTTTCAGATTTCTCATTGCTGATCTTTGTTGACTTTGTACCCTGCAAGTTAGCAACATTCCTTTAGAAGTTTTCTTGCTGGATGAATCCCTGAAACTACTAGCCTAAAATAATCTTTAAACCTTAAACCAAAATTATCTCCTGAAGTTTTCTCAAAACCAAACCATGTAGCTTAACTAGTAAAGAATGTCTGCCTGGATGAAGCATTGGGCTCTTTCAAAAACTCTATGGGATCAAAATGGCAACAGCAACTTGAAAAATTAGATAGGAAACTTCAGTGGCAGTTAGTTTATGTTAATAGAGGGGAAGTAACTGAGAAAAAGTAGGGTAAGAATGTGTACACAATCTGAAGACTGTAATCAATATCACTGAGTTGTACTAATAGAAATTTCAGATGAATCGATGTATGTTCAGCTATGTATATTTTCAACAACAAAAATAAAATAAATTATATATTAAAAAATATATAGAGAGTGGGCAACTCACAGATCCAAAGATGGAAAGGCAAGAGAAACAAAAGGATAACAAAATGAGACCTGTTACGCTTCTTTTAGATTCATGAAAAATGAATGTCTCCGTAAGAAATAAATGGGAATGCATATTCCCTCAGACCATACAAGGTTCCACCAGTCAAGTAATAAAGCATGTGTAGAACAAACGTATTTCAATCATAAACTCTATGAGGTGTTTCCAATATGAAGCGATTTTTTAAAAAAGATCCCTCTATCGCCATATATGATGGAAACCATCAGCTACTCGCATCCACTAGATGCCAGTAGCACCGGGTGTGTGTGTAGTTGTGTGTGTTTGAGGTTGGGGGGGGGAGCGTATCTTGAATCTGGACTCCTAATGGGCAATGAGAAGACTCCCAGGACAGATGGCATTTTAAAATCCAATTTCACTCAATTTGTCTCTCCACCACCCTACCCCCAGCTTGAAGCAATCACAGCCATTTTCACAAGCTGCAATATTTTAAAGTACTCACTATCTCTCTCAATTGCTTTTTTTTTTTTTTTAAGAGAATAAACATGATTGAATTTGTGAAACAACCATTTCTAACTGAACATCCACACCAACAAATTCAACACCCCACACGGAGATTTAAGTCCAGCCTTTCAAACCTAGCCCATTCATCCGCACATTTATCACAGCGAATCAACAAAACATTCCCTGACAGTCTTTCAATTGCCAGTCCCGTTCTGCGGGACTCGCCACCACTTACAAGTAACTCGGGACACCCCCAGATCTGTGAGTCCTGACACCCCGTTTATTCTTCCTGCCCGCTCTGCTCATAGCGACAGGCAGGACTGGGGGCTTCAGTGTCACGGACTGAATATACCACCTAGTCTCCTGCCGGTTGGGGGGTGGCACCCTTTCCGGTGCCCCTTCATTGGGAAACGCTCAGAGTTGTATTGTCTTTGCTGATGTTGTTTAATCTTTGCCAATAAAAATGTATGTGAGATGGATTCCCCACCCCACCCACCTGCCCGAGCCCGCACAAACAACACTCAATCGGATTGTCTCGAAGACACCCAAGCTGTGCCAACAGACAGCCAAGAGGCGTGAACAATGAACTTCTCTCTGACTCTCTCTCTCACTCAGTCCCAGAAATGGGAAGTTTTGAACTAGCTCAGGTATCAATTCCACGATTCCCCAGTAACGCGGCCGCGGGTGGCAGAGGAGGGCCCGGCGCGCGTCCCCGGCCGCGCCCCTTGCGTCGCCCGGCGGACAGTTACCTCCTTCCTCCGGCTCGGTGCCCCAGGTCGTGTGATGAGGGCCGTCTCCTCGCACACCACTGCCACATCCTCCACGAACACGCAGTCTGGGAGGCTCTCGTCGGCCGGCAGCTGTACCACCTGCAGCCCCAGCTTGCTGCCCAGCACGCCCACGTAGAGCTGGTGCTGCCGCTCCGCGCGGGCGAAATCCACCTCCTCGCCCTTGGTGCGCCTTAGCGCGTGCCGGCCGAGGGACTCGGGCAGCGTCCGCACCAAGGCGTGGGTGGCTCGGCCGAAGACGGCGGGGTGGCCGAGACCTGCCATGGCTCTGGGAGGCTACGAGGCGGTGGCGCGGGGCTTGGCGGCGAGGCGCGGCTGCAGGGTCCTCCCGCGGACAGAGCGCACGGAACCTGCGAGCGCCCGGCGGCTCCCCTTGGCAGCGGATGAATGTGGTGCAGAAGGAGCCCGGCTCGCGCCCAGAGCCCTGCCCGCGCGACTGAGCATGCCCAGAGCTCCGGGCGCCGGCCCGCGCGCATCCCGCGCGCCTACTCCAGCGCTCCCGGTTTTTGCGGCAGCCGAGGTGGGAGTTGTAGGGGAGGACCGGGCGAGGAGAAGGGCTGGGGAAGCGTCTGAGAAAGCAGAGAGAGCCTGAGGTGTGTGCAGGTGAGAGAATCTTGGCCAAAAGTCACCCCCGACGAGGACCTAACGTTTCCAGTATTCCGCCGCAGGTGCACACTTCACATCACTCACCGCGCGAACTGGCTGGGCGGGCAAAAATCTGGACAGAGCTAGGGGAAGAGTTCTTTTTGGTCAAGATGCGAGGGATGAGATGACTGTTGTAGAGAAATACTTTGATCTTTCCCTCTGCTCTCTCTCCTGTTCCCAGGCTGGTCAGAACATGATATCATCCCCTAGCTTTCTAGAGAAAGAAACTGTCTTCAAACCGAAGTCCACTCTTTCTTTACAAATGACCTCTCACGCCACAGGAGTATAAAAGTAACGTTTTATCTTGGGGAAGGGGAGAGAGACAAGAAACACTGAGAGAGAGGGAGGGAAACTCACTGTTTTTCAAGGACAACTAGGTCTCAGGAATTATGACTCTGACATGTTTTTTCTTTAAGGCCCACAGAGATAAAGAAGCAATGAACAAAATGTATTTCACCCACAATCCATTCATACTCACCTTGCGCTGTGTTAGACATGTAGCATCACAGTTCCTCCTCACTGGGAAACAGTACTTCCCTTCCCTTCCTTACAGAGACTCCATTGAAGGCTTGTGATGTTTGCAGAACGTTTCTTTTTCCATACCCCTGAGTGGCCATCCTTCATAATGGCACTAGCCTTGTATCTCCCTCCCACATACCCCTGATGAATACTCTTTAAGAACTGCAGAATAATCTCAGGTAATAACATTCTTTTGTTTTCACCTTTCTATAAAACACTTATAATTCGAAGATTAATTAAATCAGAAGGCTTTATAAACCCTCATTTAACTTCCTACCCAATGTTCTTGAATTCTAACTAAAACATCTATGACAATTACCCAATCTCTATTTAAATATCAAAACTCACAAAATCTATTCAACTGTTGAAGAACTGTCATAGTTTAAAAAAAACACAGCTCTTCTTCATTTTGGTACTAAATTCCAGTAAAGTTAGCCGACAGGTGCCAGTTCTGCCTTCTTTCTAAGATGCCTGCAAATCTTTCACAAGACAGTATTCTCACATATGAAATAGTTTCAATATTTATTCTTCTAGACATCCCCCTTCCATACTGACACTCTCCATATCTTTGACTGGAACCACTAGAAGTAATTATTTTGTTTCTTGTCTCTTCACATTTTGATCATCTTCCTTTTGGTACACTCCAGTTTGCCTGTATCCCTCTTTGGTTTCCAGAAAGAAAACAACTCTTCCTGTGTGTCTCACCTGCAGTGACTACACCCTTATTCCAGATGCTAGACTTCCGGTAATACTGCCTAAGAGTGTATTTGCTTTTTCGGAGGCCCAATGGCAAGGCCCAGTATCCCAGTGAGATATGTGGGCTTCTCGTCTGTCTGTCGTGCTGTGGTGGTTTGAGTTGCTGTGATTCTGAGGGCTATGCCACAGGTGTTTTAAATAACCAGCAGGGTCACCCATGGTGGAAAGGTTTCAGATGAGCTA